CTCTCCAAAACAGCTCCCGGTGTCTGCAAGCACCCCAGAGCCTCCCACCCCAGTGCAGCTTCCCACCGTGCTGTCCCCTCCCTGCCCTGATGATCAGAGCTGGTGGCTATAGCACTGGCCAGGGACATTGTTCCTGGCAACTGTACGCAGCTCCAGGGTCTGGCTTGCGATGGGGCTGCCCACACCCTCCCTCCGGACCCACAGAGCCCCGCCGGTGCCTCACTGAGCCAGCTCCGCAGGCTGATGGCTTTCCATCTGTGATCGAAGTATGTCTGCAGGATGAACCACGTGCCCAGCAGCGTGACGAGCAGCACCATGAACCGGATCATGCCTGCGAGGGGTGGGAGAGGAGCCAGGTGAGAGCAGCAGCAGCAGCGTGGGCTGGGGACTGGAGCATCCTTCTGGATTCCTGGGGACTTGGACTGTGTGTCCCAAGGTTACCAGGCACAGGGTGACAGCCAGTGCCTGTGTGGCAGGGGAAGGCACCTAACACGCCTTCCTTCATCCTCTAAAAGGATTCTGATCTCTTAATTAATATCTCTAGAGCGTGTGGCGATGCTCAGATAGGCATTATCCTTCTACTGGGAGGCACCGTTCATATTTCTCTCTGCACTAAAGTAAATCTGATAATTAGTCAGAAAGCTATGTAAATCCAAGTGTTTCTTATGTTCCCAGCGTTGGGAAGGCTGCTATCCCCCAATTAGTCACTAGCTACAGCCGAGCAGCTGCTAATACAAATGTGATTGGCATTTGGCTTTAAAGCAGCGCTCATCGGAGCAAAACGTTCCAGTCCTGCATGGAAAGAGAGTAGAAAAATATACTGATATTGCAGCTGAATGGCTCTTATGGAACCGGGAATGTCTCAAAAGCCATCTCTTCCCAGCCGCAGAGAGTTTCACTGGGAAAAATACAACGGGCTGAAATCTACACCAATCTTTTAAAAACCTGATGCTTATACAAAGCCCTGGCAGGAGCAGATCTGGGTAGCTGGGCTTGGAAGGGGTCGTGTAAATGAGGAGGAAGCATAAAGAACTGTAGAAAAAGGGACAGAGGGAAGTAAATCTCTGTCTCCCTCCTTACCTGTCAGCCGCATGGTGGTGGGGAGGGAGAGCACAACCGAGGGGGTGGCCAAGGGTCACGGATCACCCTGAGGAAAAGAAGGAAATACCATAAAGCATACCTGTAACCCACCCAAGCCAGGCAGATATTAGATGAAAAAAAGATTGCTATGTTTAGCCATATTTGCAATAATTAAGAGGTGATCGAAGATGCATAAATTCCTATCAGGCGTGCGGGCTCGGTCCCACCCTGATGCTGAAGTCCTGACTCCTGCACACTGGAGCAGGCTGCACTGATTTGAGCTGGCTTCATTTTTAAGCCTCTGGACTCTTCACTGTGCCCAACTGCTTGCCCTGTGGGCTCCTGTTCCCATCCTTTTCTCAGTAACGGATCACACTTTTCTATTCTGATAGTGCTGAGCTCACGGAGCACATTTTCAATCATGTCTTTGTTGCATTTCCTTCTGGGATAATGCAAAGTAGAAATCAAATACTGGGGGCTGCAAAATGCCCTCTGCAGACAAGCTGTGATTTGCCCTTGCTCAGTCCGGAGGATCTGTGGGAACAAGCTCATTCTCCTTAAAAGCGGGGCGGGAAGAAGGGCAGCGCTGCTGCGTTGGGCTGAGCAGCGCCAGGTTTGGGGGTGCCTGACTTCAGAACAGAAATGTTTCTCCTTGTCCAAATCCTGCAGCGTGTTCACCCACGTGAACGGGGAGTGGCTGCGATTTGGACCATAAACTATTTCCTACCCAAGCGAGTCTGTCTGCCCCCCTCCCTCCCACTGCTCCAAGGGATGGGATGGGCACCTGCCACCCCACACGCCAGGCTCCTAGGTGCTGGGGACCCGCTCCTACCTTTGGAATTTGGGGATGCAGCCTGGTGAATGTCTGTCCTGGAAATGACCCTGGAGTCCTAAGGCAAACTGTCCCCTGTGAGACGGGTGCTTGGAGTTACAGAGTCTAACGATAACTAAAGCAGCCCGTAAGTGAGGCTTGGCTTAGAAAATCCGTAAAAGAGCTATTCTGAGAGTTGCTTTTCCTGTTTGAAGGGTAAATAAGGAACAACGGGTTGTAGCAGGGCTGGGCTGAAAGTTGATTTTAGGCTGCTGCGTAATGAGGAAGGAGAGAAGAACTTTGCCTCCTGCCCAGCCCTGCTCTGGGTCCCCTCCCAGGGCTTGAGTTCAGGGAAAGTGCCCACAGCCATGTGATTGACGGTGGCCACAGTTCAGTGTCCTCCCTTGGCACCCAGCATCCCCCCGGCACCCCCATGGGATGCACCCGACATCCCCCCTCAGCGCCCTGGTGTGATGCTCGCCCTTTGCTCCCCAGGCACCCTGGGGTGGGTTGCACCATCACCATCAGGGACTTTTAGGCAGGTGTAAATACAAGGAGGAAACCCATCTGCATTGGCCAGGGTGGCCGGTGGCTGTCTGGACCAGAAGCCGCAGCAAGGTTTTGGTGTTCTGCAGCCGGAGCTTGGCCCCGCTGCCCACGAGGCCCCTCCACTGCGCCCGGGTCAGCACTGCTGAAGCTGTTCACAGGCAGGAACTAGTGACTTCCCGTGGGAGAGCGGCCTCACAGCTTATCTGCGTTTAAAGGAAGGCTTGGAAGGTGTTTGTGTACCCTGGTACCGCAGCAGTGTGTTTTTGATAGGGTATCAGGTGAGCACGCTTGTTTCCCAGCAGCATCTCTCTCCTCCGCCTGCAGCTACTCCTCCCAGAGGAAGGTGGCCGTGGGTGGGAATCTGTTGCTGCAGGAGGTGGCACAGGGGTCCCCAGTGCCCACAGCCCATCCCCATGCCACCTTGTCCCTCGGTGTGGTGTCCCTGAAACGGGCTTTAGCCTCGTGGGGAGCTGGCATGAACAAGCCAGTTCCACAGAGCTGGTGGAAGGGCACGGAGCTGAAAACGGGCAGCTCAGAGGTTTTGGAGGACAAATGCTGCGTGTGGCTGGATCTCTCTGGCTCTTGCTCCTTTCAGCATGAAGTTTGGTTTTTTAAACACAGGGAGCCTCTGCCATGCCTGGCTCCTCAGCCCAGCGCCTGACCCGGTGATGGGAGTGATGGGAGTGATGGGGGCAGCAGAGCAGTCCTTAAAATCCCCCTTGGCAAGTCGCAAAGCCTTCAAAACTGGAATTGGCTCGTGTTTGGAGCTTGTTGAGTTCCCCTCCAAATGCACTGAGCAGAGCTGGGAGCTGGTGAGGATTTGGACCTGGGCTGTGATTTGGGGACAGTGAGCAGAGCAAAACTCACCTGGGTTTGCAAAATGTCCCTGTTTGGTCCCTTCTGCAGGGAACACTGGCCTCACTGGGGCCAAATCTCTGTTTTTCTATGCATGTATTGATTTTTTTTCTTTCTTTTTTTTTTTTTTTTTTGGTAAGGCTGTGCTGGAAAAAAAAAAAAAAAGACTATGGCATCTGCCAGAGAACAACTTGCAGGAGAAAGGGAGGAACTGTGGTGGGTGATAAACACGGTTTCTTGTCTAATAAACCTGAAACATATTTGCTTAAAACCATTCCAGGAACACAAAGGTTCCCAGGGTCCGTGTTGTTGTAAGGCAAAGGCTCCACCCCAAGCCTCCTCGGGTCTGAAGTGCCGCTTTGGTGCTACCAAGAAGGAACCCAGACAGGTCCCTGCCCTCGCGGGGAGGTTCTCCAGGATGCAGCAGGTGAATGTTCCTGTTTCCTCCCAGCGCTGCAGAAGAATTTCACTTCTCTTCCCCAGAAGCTTCTGCCTTTGTTGGGTTTGCTTTTTTTCTTACTGCTTTTGAGTCCCTCGCATCCAACATCATTTTGGTGCGAGGCTGGGGTGTGGCTCCAAACAGGGTTGCTGCCAGATGTCACCTGTGCCCACACCCAGGGAGTCACCCCTCCAAAAGTCAGGGTTTTCTTGCAAAACTGGACATATACCCACCACGTGCCCAGGGCTGGTCCCACCATGGGAGAATGGAGGATGCTACAATGCCATTTTTAATCTCAAAAGGGGTCAATGCCACTGAGATTTGCCAAGTTACTCGGAGTGAGAGCGCTGTTTGCCAGCGGGTTTATAAATTCCTCAGCTCATAAAAATGCTCGGCCAGCTGTGGCACCTGCCAACGGGCTGGAGAGGGCATCTCACAGCGAAACTGCCCCCAGCACGAGTCAATTGTTAACCGGGGTGAGGCCCGGATCCTGAAGCCGAAGCCAAACAGGATGCACGCGGTGGCGGGCAGGGTGCGGGGCTGGGGCCAGCTGTGGTGGCTGAGCTCTGTCAGGGAGCAGGGCTGCAGCCGAGGCGGGACGTGACACCCGGAGT